AAAGTCCCTAGAGGTACCTTTTGGGATGAGAGGGATGATCGACTTAACTTTGTTTTCCCCCCCCCCCCCCCCCCCCCCCCCCCTTTTCTTCTTAGCAGGAGATCGATAATGAGCCGGAGGTGGAAGGGATGGGCATAGCTGAATTTCGTTGCTGCCCGCCCAGCTAGCCAGCCCGCCGCGAACCTTTTCAGTAACCCCGGTCTGAATTGTGTCGCACACGGTAGTTTGATGAATGATTCTGAGACACAATTCGGGAGACACACTCGAGTTGCGTACACAGACTGATGAGGTGCAATGGCATGACAGTTTACCTTGCATTAAGAGAGTAGGAAAAATATCGTGTTATGATACACACCAGCTTCGAGAGCAAAAAGGGAGGATTTGTCAAAACGAGATCAAACATCATCACTCATGCGACCAAGTGGAAAAGGACTGTTGTTCGAGTAGATGCGGATGCATTACTTCAAAAGAAGAGAGCGTATTGCTTGTTTGCTTTGATCACGCTGTTCATTACCAGACAGACGCACTAAGGATTACACTGCAGATCTCGAACGGATTGATAATAAAATGAAGAAGAGAGGCGTCTCTCCTTTTGTATTCTTGCCTGCATGTCTGCTATAACCAGAGGAGAGATGGGAGATGGGATATGATAAAGCCAGATCTATCCCGTCGCAAAAAAAAAAAAAAAAAACACGCCAATGAATATGATGAAACACAGATGTGAAAGGAAATATTTCCTAATCCCAAAAGCAAATGTATGCCTCCCCGATTCTATAATGTTCCCAGTAGTCCATAGACAAAAAGAATTTCGCTGTGCCAACTGTCCGATTTCCAATGCCATTCGCCCGCTAGCAAAAGCCCAACCAAATGATCCATCCCTTTTTGGCCGACAGTTATTAGACGAGTGTACCAAGCAAAATAAAAAAGAAAATGATCAAAAACACTCTATGCAAGCCATACTCCACCACCAGCTCCTAGTCAAGAACCAGTGGCAACCCAAAGTGTGATGAGAGGAATGGACCCATTGAACGCCAAAGTCTGCACCCTTCTATATCGTCCCGCTAGTTCCCGCTAGTTTTGATCATTCGTCGTTATCGAGCAAGTTTCAAAAAGTCAAGTTTGTCCACTGATGTTGCTTTACAACCGGTCCATCATCTCCGCCCCAGAGAGGCTGGTAGAAGAAGAGTTCCTGACACTTGGGTTGAACCCATCGGCGGGTCCAAGCAGATCCTGGACAGCAACCTTGGGCACGGGTAGTTTCCTTTGAGTGCCATCAGGTCGGCTGATGATGTCGGTCAAGGACATGCCACTGCTCCTGGGCGCAGCGGGAGGAGTCTGGGGAAGCGAGAACTGCCCATCAAGAGCGGGCTCGAGAGGAGCCAGCGCAGGCGTTGTGTGCTGTTGGCCCAAGGAAAGATTCCTGAAAGGGGGCAGCTCAAGGCCAGGATGAGGGCGCAGACGAGGCGAGTGAGCAGGAGTAGCAAGTGGAGTGTGATCGGGAGTAGGCGATAGCGAGTCGTGAGAGAATGTCGGGGAAGAAGGTGCTGTCGAGTTGGGCGAGTTGGGCCTCGACCTCTTGGCATGCCTGTAAGACTGGCCATAGTGGTCATCGTGATCCTCGTGGGAGTGCGACCTGGACATGTGATAGGCCTGGAGCCCAGGGAGCTGATTCCTGGAAGCCGTGGCGGCATGCAGAGTGTTTCCGTAGAACTGGAATCGTGGCTGAAAGTGATGATGAGCGGCGCCGTCCCGCTCAACTTGTCCGGCGGCCCTCGCGAGGAGCGAGATATCAGGACCACTTTGGCTGCCCGCGGAGCTACGGGAATGGCTATAGGGGTTGAGGCCCGAGGGAGCAAAGTTATAAGGGCTGTAAGAGTGAGGGGGTGACACGTTGGGAGAGGACATGGCAGTAGGAGGAGCAGAGCGGATAGCCTTGGGGCCGGGAGGAGGCATCATGTCGGGCTGCAGCCCGTGGTTGTGGACAAGGGGATGCTGCTGCTGCTGCTGGCCCTTGTTTCCCCTCCGCGAGTTAGGATTGCTGTGTATCCTCGAGTGCCGGGTCAGCTCGTCCGAACGCGAGAACTTCTTGCTACACCCCGGGAACTGGCACGCGTGCGGCTTCTCTCCTGTGTGGGTGCGAATGTGTCTTGTCTGATGCTCCAGGCGGTGGAAAGCCTTGTCGCACAGAGGGCACTTGTAAGGCCGTGGGAGCTCGTTGGCGGGCTCAGTAGGTTGGGCACCGGGCAGGGGCCCATTGGGGCGCAACAAGCCGACTGTCGCCATATCTGCTTCGGGCTGTGGTTGTTGCTGCTGTTGTGGTTGTGCGGTTTGTTGTCTTGGGGAGCCGCTGTGATCTCTCTTCTCGGCCGTGGATTCGGATGGATTCAGCAGATTGGAAAAATCTACTGCTGACTGTACGCGTTGCATGTGGTCCACCTCCGCTTGGGACCTAGTTGTCCCAATTAACGTCCTGGAGATATTGTGGCTGGTAAATCTTCCGATTGAGCTGTTGCGCTCGCTTGCGTGCAGCTGCAGGAGTACAAGAAATAAGGGAAAAAGTTCGCCAAACGTTCTTGACAAAAAATCCCTCTACTTCCTCCTCGCTCGTTTTTTGCTGGGCTTGTTGTTTGCTGCGCCGAAGACTCCGAAATCCAGAAGTAAGATGTTTTTTTGACGATGGGATTGTAGACCGGACCAGAATGTTGGTGTGGAGATCGGAGCAAGTGTTGTTGGGTGTTGGTTCGTATGTTGTGGTGCGGTGTGTTGTCTTCCTTGATAGGTAGGTAGCCAAGGCCAAGTGCCGGTCTGTGGGCGGGCGCGGGTTTTTGAATGCGATGTGGGTGATTGTTGGGGAACGTTGAGTGGTATGGGGAAGTAGTGACGAAAAACGGCGGGAAGAGATGATTTGGGGGAGCCGCACTGGTTTAAATGGGGAATGGGCGGTCTGACAGCCGGACTGACATGGGGCCACAGGCGGGCATGTGTGGACAGTGGGCAGGGCACCTCAGTGGGACGCCAGTGGACAGGAGTTGTTGCGGCCAGTGAGGGTGTGTGGAGTGGGCGGGTGGGCGTAGCGCCGCGACGACTCAGCGAGGCAGGAACACCTGGAGGACGGGCACAGACTCAAAGGGACTGGCGACCGGCCTGGAGGGATGCCAGGGGGAAGAAGGGGAACCTGGAAGGTGCAGGTGCCCAGTGGAGGCGGATCTGAGCTGTTATCATCGTACCCGTACGGGGTAATATTTCACATACAGTGAAAGATTGTAAAATACGAAACCCGGGGGCCCTCAGCACCAACACTGCTCGCTTGCTAACCGCTTCGGGCAACCCACAACCCGATGCAAACCTCATGCACTTTGAACAGAAATCTACCTAGTTAGCACATCCCGATCACGCTTCATCGAAATGTGTTCGATGGAAAGTTTGCTTGGAGAAGGCAATAGAGAAGCAGGCTTGCAGGTACATATGCCATCGTACGTGTACAATACAATACGCAGCACTGAGTGCCGCGGGTGAAGTCACTTCCCGCAGCCCGCCCCTCCAGACCTCCACGGGGGGGCTGTTGCAAATTTGGCCGGTGTGCCAGGAAGGTGCGGCAGGTATGTAAGTAGCGCTGGGGGTACGTGGGTTGACGTTGCGGGTTCAGACTCCGTTGCTCAAAAATTACACGATATTACGCCTAGACACGGACCAACCGTACAGGTACAGGCAGTCGTCTGAATCTCTGGATGGCGTGCAGCCGAGCTCACAGCCAGACATTCTTCCACATCCGCTGTGACCTTGATCACTTCTCCTCTTTTTGAATCATGCTCTGCTTGCCTGTCAGTATATCGGAAAGGGGGCTTGGATGGCATGGTCGGCTGATGAACAGATCCGGGGGGGGCCGCGGGGGAATTTCTGGATGGGTACGGAGAAAACGGTGGGGTTGAAGTGGAAATTCGAGCAGAGAAAACAGACATTGACCCCATGATAAGGCTTGCATTGCCGTTGGTGTGGAAAAAAGGCAGAGGGCGTTTGCGAAATAGATCTTGAGTTTTGGTGCTTCATCTTGGCGCCAATCCTGGTGTAAGAGGTTGCGCAGCTTCCATTTGGCCCTTTTGCCCACAGCAAGACACGCTGGCTGGCTGGGCATGGCTTGGAACATCTTGACTCTGCCTGAAACTGGAAGCTCGAGACAGATGGAATCGATGGCTACGTGAAGGGCTTCCAACGTTGCATCAAAAGGGCCAGGGCCGGCATACGTTGAGGCTTCTCTCCCGGGGCAAAGCCGGCATCATGCCAAAAGACATTTGGTGTAAGCTGCCTGGAGGAGACGTTACGAATCAAGGGCCGATCAGAGAGGGCTTGGGAGCGGTGAGGACCGTGGCTGAGCTTTCACATTGCCGTGAGATGAGATCCATTACTATCGAGCGGGCGTTGGGCGTCGTCAAGTCCCAGTTACCTGTCAATATTCAGCTTCTTGTCTCTTTGTGCTTGTGCTTCCACTTCAAAGAGAAACCCATTTGGTCTCACTCGACAGGTTGGGCGACCAGAATCGTCAAAGTCGATATATCACAATCCCGACCTGCTCGTCACTCCCCGCCAGCATGTTGAGGGGCGCACAAGAAGATGCGGGCCAAGACAGCTGTTGCGGTTTTGGAAGACAAGACACCTGAGGGCTTCCTGTTCCGATCACGACGAGAAAGCCTCTTCTTCTCGAGAAAACCATACACGTGTTAGGCGGGAGCCGTCGAACGAGGTGGGCGACCTTAGCCTTTTGTGTGTCTGCCTGGCTGGGCTCCCTTGTCTTACAAGACCGTCAGATACAGAGACAATCGCGTCATTCTCATGAGGACCACTGTTCTCGCCAGTTTTCGGCCGTCTCTCTCTCATCCGCCGTAGGCACGGCAGATCTCAAGGGCCCCGGCCCAGTCTAATCACGTCAAACCCGCCTGGCGGCACGTAGAGCTGAGTTTAAAGTTTGCCACTTTATCCATACGAGAAAGGAGTTTTTGCATGTGGGGGCTGGTTCGGTCATGATGGATCTGCTTGTGAAAGCTCGGAGGGCGACCACCTAGCACAAAACCATCATGGTGCCAGTCTCATCTCGTCCAGTTCCCCATGTTTTGGGTGGAGGATGCTCCACAGAACGACCGACCTGACGGAAATGTGAAATCATGCTCCGGCAGTGACCCTGGCCCAGCAGACAGGCCACAGAGAGAAAGAAAAAGCAGACAGGGAAGAGGTGGGGACGTGGCCGCAGACAGGCGCGCCCCGAGGGGTGGCGCCAATAGAGATAAGACTTCCATGCCCCAAGTCCCAAAGCGTAAGTGGAAAGCGTGGAGGGCCCCAGATTGTGGGGAGGCCAGCCGCTTTCGTTAGCCGCAGCCTGGGGTTGCTCATCAAGGTACCTACACTTCGTTGGACTGTGTGTCCTTGTGGTTGGCCCCGAGACATCCCGACGTCCTCCAGGAATCAGACGGCCTGCCGGACGGTGAGCGTCCGCCCTGTTCTGCTTGTTTCTCCGCTACAATTCTCAAGGCATCACCTTTGTCTCTCCATGTAATGTGCTACACTACACACAGCTCCGGCTGGAGAAGAGTGCCGAGACGGGTGCGGGTCCAGAGCCTTATCTCCAGCCGAAACCTGGGGTAACTTTTCCAAATCCCTATCAAAGTCGATTGATAAGCGCGCCATTTCACCTTCCGGGCTGCCCATAAAGAGGTGAACGAGCGAGATTAGCCTCGTCTACCTCGGTGAGACTCTGGCGAGCATTAGGCCGGGGTTTGGAGGCCAAATCGAGATAGGTTGTTGTTCCAAAACGCTATTTTCTTATCGACAGGACGGCGAGGTGCTTCACAGGGTTGCCCGGCACATGCCTCAGATGGTTGTTGGAAGTCGGGGAACGGACAGCACGGGGTCCCCGCCTGCGATCAAGTGCTACGCTACCGAATCTTGGGATTGCTGCTTGGCCAAAGTCCCCCGTTCGTTTCTTCCGCCCCTCGGATGAGATGGCGCGCCATTCCACGCCTTGTCACTGTAACAAAGCGACGACGTGGGGGTCTTTCAGTCACACACTCCCCTCTCGACATGTTGAAGCGTTATCATTTCATTTGCACGCCATCCATCACGGACTATTAGCCACCACAATATCCGACACCAGACACCATCAACGACCCGGATTGGAACCCGTTCCTGTCTGTCTCCTGGAAAACCCGTTCACGGGTTCGTAGGTTCAGTTATGTGTCGATTTCTGTGCTGTTGGCGCAATGACACGAGCAATAGCTGAATTGTCAGGTTGTACAAAAAGAGTTGTATCCACAAGTCCCCACGGGGTTCAGGCACACGGAAAGCTTTACTCCGTCATCGAGATAACGCTAGCCTGATTGGGAAGCTTTGCTCGTACACTAGGCTCAGGTCAACATGTGCAGTTACATAGAACACTGATAAAATCATATGGGTCGCGGTAGTCGTGATGATCATTCCAGGCGTGGACAAGCATTAAGATTGAATCGAAAGCTCATGTGATGCAAAGCCAAGAGCATGAGGCTTGACTTTGTTGTTGACGATGAGGCTCCGGTGAGACCGAGTCGCAAAGGTACACCTCCGCATAGATTTAACACGTTAGCTGGGTACTTTGGTCCTACAAGAATCAAGGGCTAAAGAAGGGCCACGCCAGACATTTATTGTACGAGAGTTCAGCTTCTTTGCCACCCCCAGAAGCCACGCTAACAAATCATATCCATGCAGAGGTGTACCTACGGGGTCTCCGGATCCCCGCCGTACTCCAGGTTCTGGGGAAGCGGATGCTCGGCTTCTGAATCATGGGGAGAGCCAGCGATCATCTCACCGAACTTTTGAAGATATCCAGAACTTGTCGCATTCTCTTCACCGTGTCGGACAGCCATCTTCCCGGTATACTGTGGTAGGCTTTCCGTCGGAACCGTATCGGTCTTATACATGGCAAGGGCAACCGTCCAGGAACGACTGCCTTCCCCGGAATGGTCACGGTGAATTTGCGGAGAGGCATTTTCCGTCCACAGCTGAAAAGGTGCAAGTTTGAAAGATACCGCTAGCGCGAGTCATTGGTCTGTTTGACCGACTCCAAACCGAGTCTGGGGTTGAGGCACCTTATGGGGCGGTATCGTGAAAGGTTTACCACAAGCCTCCACAGAAAGGCCGAATAAATACCTGGAGTTTCCCCGAAGCTCCGCGGCAGCGGCGAAAGAAACAAGAAAGAAGACAACGGAAGACGGACGCAGGGAGAGAAAAGTGCAAGGAAGGCGCGACTCGGGTAGAAGGCAGACTGGAAAGCTTTTCAAAAAGAAATTTTTTCTTGCTTGCAATCTGGATTTCCATGTCAGGAGCCTCCTCCACGATTGCCACATTTTGGCAAAGAGACTTGTGGTCCCTGATGCCTTGGTTCGCTTCGCCGGGATAGCAGCTGTTGTCGTAGGGCTTTGGAAGGAAGCGACGACGCGGCTGGTCGTGCGATACGCATTTACCCGACGGATCCGCTGCGCTGCTTCCAAGACCGTTCGCCATCATGGAGGGAACTGTACCTTCACCTGCCCAGGCTTACCTGTTGCAGGCTTTTGGGGGAAGGAAGCCCTGAAAGAGAGCGCGGGGGCCACATGTTACAGGCGGTCGTAATATCCCCAATAGGGACATGCCGGGTTTTGGCCTAAGGTAGGTAGTATACATACTTACCGTATCGGTACCAAGGGGTAATATACTTGATTGTACCGACGTACAGTACCGTACGTACGGGTAGCCACCTAGATGAATTTTACAATGTCGGTACACGTGTCTGGAGCAATTGGCTGTCCAAAGTTTACCTGCTATCTCCAGTTATCGTACCCACCATCCCGGACACACCTCTCCACGACAAGCTTTTTAGCTTCAGTCGTGCATTCCTGCTGCTCCCCTTGTCGTCCCCCAATTTGTTGATATCAAACGACAGGAAGCGCCGAGTCGCACCGAGCAAAGCTTGGCCCACCATCGCGAGTCTGAGCACTTTGACACATTTCCAAAGTGTCTGAAATAGCCTTCAATGCCGCCGAGTGGTTGGGATCAGATGTGGGTGAATTGTTTGCCCGCCATACATTGAATCCCGCCCGTGCACGCAACAGGCACGTTCCAGTCAGGAGTTCCTCATGCGAAGCCAAGGTGAGGTGATCATCTGGGACCCAGCAAACGGAGACGCAGGAGATTGCGACGATGATCCGGGGAAATAACTGAGGAGCAGGAGTTGATTGTTTTCATACCTTTTGGTGCTCCGTGCTAGCTGACGATGGGCACAATTCAAAAACACTAACGAGCGAGCGGGGGAGTTGGGGAAAAACAAATGATGCCCCTCCGATCACATGAAAGAAAGGCTCTCACATCTCAATTGAGAGCTTCTGCTGGTGCTGGATGGGGGGTCGGTGTGCTTGAAAGTTGGGGGATGTGCCCCCCTAGGCCAGAAAAGGAAGAGAGATGGAATTCATTCCGTCCCTTTTCTCCGAACGGTAATCGCCGCCGGTGATGTCGGTGATGTCAACCCCCGGCTTCTCATCCCTGGGCAAATTTCCACAGTTCTTAGCGCCAAGGAAACATCACCCCGTCACATTCACTACACTACCTTCGCGCTTTCACCTCCTCCGAACAAAGTCGAGGCTTTATCCCGTTGGAGCATGCCGTGTTCGCTAGGTAGATTCGCTTCTACATTAAGCGGCACCATGCTTTCAAGAACGCCTCTGAACGTCGTCCTCCTCGCGAAGGGCCCCCGTGCACGAACCACACAAGTCACAACTGCAGGTGCTTCGCAGCACCCTATTTGGGATTCAGACAGAAGTCGCAGATCCGGGCCCCGGGTGTCCTTTCCGACAAGCATCACTATCAAGGACCTATCAGTGATGTCCAAAGGGAGAACGCTCCGAAAATGCAGAAGGATCGTGAGCTCATCAGTGAGTGCAGCCAGGCAAACCAGCTGGCAACAAGCCATCAAGCATGTTATGTTGTGAAATGTTACAGAAACAACATTGGGTCCTTCAACTCGCATTCATATACAGCGTATCCTCATGATGGTTGGTTCATTCGCTACACATCTTTGTTAGAAGTTCGTCAGGCAAGTGAGAGGGAAAAAACCGGTATGGAGGAATTTATCCGTCTTGTGATGAACTTCATATGACACTCGACATTTTCCGCGTAAGGAATGATGACGCTCGTGCTCGATATACTTGTCATATCACCTAGCACTGACGAAAATTTCGCATCGCGGCGGCTCAGTCATACCGTGACCAGAAACACCGAAAAGCAACAATAAAATATATCGCTCGGCCTCAGACATTCAACGAGGGAGAAGACTAACAACAGCAATCTGAGAAACGTCACTCGAAGAAACAGAACGGTAATCGATGGCGTTCAATCATTGATACTAGAGCTTCGTTTGGGTAAGGCTTGGCATAGGTTTTGGTCCAAACAAATGGCTGATCAAGAGACACTCCAACGACTAATGAAACAAGGGGACAACTTGAACTATTCTTCCCCATGTCACATGCCCCTTTCTTCATCAACACCAAAATCCCATGTGGAGATAATTCATCTTTCTTCAACAATTTCCCTGTCAGGGCCAAGGGGATCAGACTGCAAGATACTGTAGGGTCCAGACAAGGAGCCTCATCTTCTCAGCCCTCTACACTACACACAGTCGTCCCTCCCCTTTCCCCCTCGAGGTTCATTGGGATTCGGCCTGGCCACCCGGGCGGTACTAAGTAATACTCCATTATACCAGTACATACGCACTTCTGTACTTGCGCCAAACGACTGCATGTGTAACGCAGTTACAAGACGCTAAAAAGTGTTGGAAAGCCAAGACATCTGAAAGGGTGAGGCGAGGAAAGAAGGAGAAAAAGAAAAGGCAAAAAGGAAGAAAATCCACGCCGGAACAGACAGGACAGGGTTCAAGTGTTCACCATCCATCACCGTTCCTCCGTAGGGCGAACGGCTTCCCCGGACCCCACGGGGAGAGAAATACGACGGCCATGCCTCTATGAGCATAGTTTACTTCTCCTTAATTTCCCCATTAGGGATAATGCTGATCTTAACCCCACAACATTAGTAGTGTACGAGATGAGCCTCACTCTCACCAGGGTTGAATTGGAGGGTTAGGAGGTGGGAGGTGGGACACTGAGTCAATCTGGTAACCGGGCTGAGCCGGGGAATATTATCAATCTTCGTCGTCTTCGTCATTTTCAATTCACTACGCGGGAGCAACTTGCCCTTGCTTCGCTTCGTGACGAGCGAAAAGCTCATTCTTTGGGCTTACTCCCACAAATGAGGGCAAAAGGGGCTCGCTAGAATGTTCTGTCTTTCGTTCTTTTCTTCTTCTTCTCCAAGCTAAGGGGGCTTAGGCAAGTCTAGGATGGCATGGACGGTTTTCGAAGCTTGATTGACAAATAATTAGTTGTCATCAAACGAGACGAGAAAAGGCACGTAAAACAATAGCCGGATCGGCATGATGAAGCACAAGCAGTGCAGCCAGACGGGAAGACTCCTGAAAACAGTCGGACATTGTGGGCGGAAAGCCGAGTTCAGGAATTCATGGTCATGGCATCAATACATAATTCCGTGGTGTTCAATACGGGAAACCGTATCAAAGCGAGATCTTCCAAAGACTGAGACGAGACTCGCATGTCTTGGGACTTGGCCTTTTGAAAGCTCGTGTTCTGGACTGTCTAGTCTCGGTGCTCACATGCGGATGAAATCATCCAGCCTGTGAATAACTTCCCACCAAGGAAGGGCCAATGTTGAGCATCCCTAGCAGCTTTAAGAACGTACTAAAATGTCGCGGTAGACCATCCGAACCGTCTCAACAATTGTCGTGGACTGATGTGATAAGCGATGGACTTCGTCAGATGTACCGATTCGTCGATGTGAGGAGACGTCATACTTTCGACTGATCGTGGGATTATCAGCTGAAGATGGTCGTGATCTGTTCTGGTTCGAAGAACAACGGACCGAAAAGAAAACCTGGAAATTTCAACCACGGAAGGTATGAAACGGAGTGCTCGTAACAGTACGTATCGATAAGATCCTGTCAAAGAGCCGGACCTGCCTGGAGCCAGCCTTGCGCATGCACGTCGCTGGCCTGGCTGTAAATGTGTCTGTCACTTGCCCCGTTCGTCGTCCCAATTCAGCAACGCTGAATGACCATTACCGTAACGGTACGTACATACCAGCCCTTTCACCCTCTCCCCGCGGGATGTGCACCGGCTCTCCAAATAGACTACTTGGCATCTCCAACGTCGCGACGAGACTGACGTCGACCAAGCCAGCAAGATCAAGGTGGCCCAGCTACACTACACCTCTGCCGGCATATTACTTGTTTGGGTGGTGCCGCCACTTGAAAATTTCAGGACATTGGAGGTGAGCAAATCAGCCATCTTTCGTACGAAAGATAAAGTTATCGCCACTTTGCAGTTCACCACGCTAACCTTACATTCAAATGCCGGCAGAGGTGTACGTACCTTGCGAAACCGCGACCCTCCCCGCGCTCCGGCCGGAACACCGATGATCGTCGAGTCCTCAACTCCCCCGGATCTACACCAAGTGCCCTTTAGCCGCCTTCCGGCGTGCGCGCTACCGTAGCAGCCGACGCCGAGCTTTGGACAGTGACCGCAACCGCCGGGAAAAACGGGGCTGCCCTATCATTCTCCGCTCCCGATTGTTCCGACTTGGACGGTGCCGTTATTACCTACACCCAGACTGGTTTGTTCCGCCGTCACCCAGCCCACGCTCTCCGGGCAAGATGGATTACCACGAAAGACATGGCCATGATGTCGCCAGCTTCGATGATCTCCCTTCAACGCGTGAGATGTCCTGATAACCGTAGACGTAATTCCCCAATCGCTGACGTATCCTGTGAAGATCGCATGCCTACCGTCTCCGCTGCCGATGCCTTGGATGACCTGAACGATGGAGACAACTCGCCTTTCATCCCTACCAGCCTAGACGCCCTCGATGCCGCTTTGAAACCGAGTCTAGACATCGAAACAGTCACTGGAGGAATACAGAAGGGTCAAGTTACTGAGATTTGGGGGCCTCCTGGCGTCGGAAAGACTGCTTTCGGGTGAGTTGACCGTTCGCATCAAAGGAAAGCAAGTGGCTTCTCAATTTGACTGATACCATACAGCATACAACTCTCAGCCAACTGCCTGAGTGAGGGCAAAGGTGTCGTTTGGGTAGGTAGGTCCGTTTATGCAGTGATTGTGCTGTCAACCTACGGGTGCACTAACCATTCGCCCTAACTTCCCGATATAGATGGATTTCACCGAGTTCCAATTGAGCGTCTGCGCTCTGTCCTTGGCTCCAGAGTGAAGAGGGACAAGGAAAGGGAACAGGAAGAAGCGACAGTCGATGAGCGCCTCAATGCTCTCACGCACTACACATGCCTCAGTCTACCTCACTTGATCGCTCTTCTATGTCGACCTACGCCGAGCTGCATACCGCAAGACACATCGCTTATAGTGGTCGATTCTTTATCCGCGCTGGTAAATCATGCCTTTCCAAGGACACCAGAGCAAAAGAAGATGGTGGATAATAAAGGAGACAAAGGTACGTTCCCCCCACCCAAGCAAAGCATGGCGTTGGTCTGACAGTCTCAAAGTTCCATCTCTTTCCGCTCGGAGGTTGCAAGTACTGCAGTACATCATCGGCGCACTTCAGAAACTTGCCGCCACGAGAGACATAGCTATCGTTGTTCTCACACAATGCGCAACAAAGGTGATGCAGGTAGAACGGGGAGCAACTCTTGTGCCGGCTATAAACGCCAGCGTATGGGAGCAGGGAGTTTCTACCAGACTTGTGCTGTACCGCAATTTAGCGTTCAGTGACGCAAAAGTGCAAGGCTTGCGTCTTGTTGGAGCGCAGAAACTCAATGGGAAGACTAGCGAAGCATCTGTTGACACTATCTGCGCCTTTGATATCGAAGAGGTAAACCTACTCCCCACCCAGTTACAAGTCTGCTTAGTTATTGACATGTCATATATCAGAGCGGCTTGGTTACAGTCGAATACGACTTCAGTGAACCGCTACCGAACCACTTGTCTACACCGAGCACGAAGCGAAAGTTGGGTGACACCACTTTGGAGATAGCCGATAGCGATGATGAGGATTACGGTTGGCAGGAAGAGGACGACGAAGCCGTGCCGCCTCCGCCCTCGCAGTGGCAGGGAAGCGAGGACATCCTTCTTGTCCCAGAGCCTGAAAGCGATCAAGAGGATGAGGAGCCAGAAGAGGAGAAAGAGGGATCTGACAAAGCCGAAGATGCAGGTGACGAAGACGCAGACGCCGCCTTCAACACCACGGCGGACGAATCACAGCTCGCCAGTAAGGTCTTTGGTCGTGATCGGGAGATTCAGGATTCTCAGGCCGACTGGTGAGTCTTAGCCACAGCTGAGCCGCAGAATCCAACAGTCACGCAGAGAACGGAGTCGAGACTGCCGGTCACACTCGGTATCACTGGTATCGTAACATGCACCCCTGATTGAAGGCTACGCTGGTCTTACCATTCCCCAGTTTTCATGACATCTCTTCATCTCCAGCTTGTCTCCGGATTCTCCAGAGCGCCCCACCTTTCCAGTTTCCCTCGGCCTCTCGCCGAGCTGGCGCCCCTCCATTCTTTGCATCTGGAGCAACAGCAGGCTTCCCCTGACATGACCGTCAAGCAAGGCTCATGCGATGGAGAAAGGTATGGAGAAAACCCCGTGCGATAATCTGACAAAAAACTCCGTGCAGGAACCTTGATGGCCTCTTTGTCTCTGTATCCTCCTTGTCAAAATTTTCTGTTTTGTGTTTCCCCGAATCAATTGCGGTTGCTGGTGTTTGGGGCCCCCACGGGGGGATCAGGAGGGACCAGGTTTGCGGCGAAATCTCTACTTGATGCGCCGACGCCATCTCCCAAACTTGTTGCAATCAAGCGATCGAACGTGCGCATGGCATCGAAACTCAAAATTTTCTCTGCCTCGTTCGGTCGAGGTTCGCTTGCTGGGATGATGAATCGATTAAAATCGGACCAACAACCAATTGATGAGGGCGGTGCCTCCCTCGGCCTTATGCCGGATCTCGGCATCATCTGCCGATGGTATTTTGAAGAGGCTCCGCAATTTCTCCACTCAAAACAGAGAAAGCGAAAAAAACGAAAGACAAAAAAAAGAAAACCGGGGCACGGGCATGCCGGTGCCTTGGGGGTCCTTGGCGCTCAGTTCTACTTTCTCTTTCCCACTCGGGATTGGCAACTCGCAAGGAGCCGGGGCAGGCGCAGTTGAAACGGGGGTCTGGGGAATCCGTCGGGGTTTCCTATTGGGATTCTCCCTCTCTCTTTGAGGTTTTGGGGGCGGGCTGATTGTGGGCGTGTGGGATGTCTGTGTGGGTTGAGGGGGGTGATGAGGGTTTGTTTGTTACCAGGCCCTGCTACCTGCCAAGAGCAAGATGGAGTCCAGAATCCTAGGCAAGCAACCCGCTGTTTGTAACAATGATACTTGATACTTACGGTACGTAATATTGATACCGTACGCCAAAGTTTCAGGCACAATCGTACAGCTGAGACGTTCCAATCAGACGATACCTCTACGGCACGGCACGGCACTGGGGCTGTACGAAGCATCCATTGGTGATGCCGAAACGCAGATTTGTGTGTGCAGTGTAGTGTACGATCCAGCCGGAAGACTCCATTCGTCGTAGTCAAACACTAATACGAGCACTTCACGATGGAGCCAAAAGACAATTGCATAACGGACACGTGTTTAGGTGAAGCCGTGGTAGAATATCACCATCACCAATTGCCTAATTTCCCCTGGCACCGCCCGCCCACTACACGTGGACCGTACCTCTTCAAGTTTCACTGCCACTGGTGAGAAGGTCCGTCGGAAACAGCGAGAGAGCGCGAGACAGCGAGGCCATACCAGGCCGGATCGGGTCCGTCCGAAAGGCAAGGGAACTTCAAACCAGCTGGATCGATTACGAAGTCTCTTAGGCCCGACTATTTCCATCTGTCTACACTAGTGTAGTGTAGTGTAGTGTAGTGTAGTCAGTGCTTTGCTGGACAATGAAGCAACGCAACTTGCTCAGGGGCAATGCAACAATGACAACAACTGAATGCAACTGGCCCTAGGGAAACTGCTGCTGCGGCTGCGGCTAAGGCTGTTGGTGCTGCTGCTGCATCGACAACACACGGTTGTAACAAAGGGAACGCTTTTCTGTTCCGTGTTATTTTCGTTCTTTGTTTCTTACCTTACGGAGTTGAGGGTCCTGTCCTACTATCCACTCAACTGCATGGCATCGTGCGATCTGTCGACCGAAACCAGATCTCTTCAAACATGATTGATGATTCATAATGCTTCCGCACACGGCGGCGGCACATTAGACAAGCAATCACCTCCGGAGTTGCACCGGTCTCAATGGCTCATTCCAAGTTCCGAATAAAGAAGCCACTGCGTTGCCGAGGAGGGCCATTGCGGTCACCGGTCAAAGAGCTTCTCCTCTCCGAAAGGTTCGCTACCTCTGCCGTCCCGAGGTTGGACGTCCAGTCGGGGCCTCACATCCGGCTTCGTTCCAAGGGGCGCGCAAAAATTCCATCTTGAAAATTGAATGTGACGAAAGCCAATGTGGAAAACAGGAAAACTTGAACCTCGCCAAAGACAAGCGAGAGTCGCAATATTGTGTTCCTCCTTGCTGCTTGCCTTCCATTGCCTTGCAAAGTCAAGGTGGCAGGGCCGATCCGATCTGTATGTCGCTCAATGCGGCGGCTCTGCCGCCTGTACAACAGCCGTCTAATATAGAGAGGTATGAGGTGACATAAAATGTATTGTATACATACCTACGTAGGTACGCCGTACCGTCAGCCAGTTATCTGGTGTGCTTGCTCCTGAACTCAATAGTCGAGAACGAACGTGGACCTTGCATCTGGATCGTAGCAGCCATTAATCAGATGCGGGAACTCCAACTCATCGAATCAACTCAATACCTACATAGTTATATGTGTATCAGTCCTTGCCCGGCCCGTATATGTACCGTTCCGCTGAAGTCCATCTCCATTCTTCAGTTACCCGACGGGGAGAAATCGAACGGTGAGAAGTGGTGACACAGCGGCTCGGCTCGGCGGCTTAGCGGCTCAACTGGGACGGACGAACTTGAGCCTATGCTGTGTTACGTCCAGGATAATCTCGATTTCACCAAGGTAGCGACCTAGGTAGCTACATGACATGGTCGCCACGAGCGAGACAGTAGGTAGATACGAGACAGTCAGTGGTCGGCGGACGTGGAAGTAAAAGATTTGGGTAGCACACTGCTGATTTGTTCTAAATGGCCGGGACAAAGGGAGGGTGTGAAGAGTAAGAACTCTAACAAAGGTTTGTGTCAAGATGAGTCTCAACTGTTGGTGCCCAAGGGCGTATACTACATCCTCTAGCTCTAGGATGCCTTGAGGCCGCGGTTCATGCGGCGTAGCATTCCCCTTCCACACAAATTTAGGTCGAGGTAGGTTAATGTTCGTTGTAGCTTCTCAGAACACACTGCCTAAGTACCTACCTTAACCTCCGTCGAGCTTATATCGATTACACGTGTAGTCCCATCACATGTCAAACCTGACATGTCAACTTTATGCGGACTCTCACCAGCAGTAAGTAAGACCTCTAGAATAGGGTCCAGATCACAGTGCGTACTATCTTCCTTCTCTAAACCCAGTGCCCCAAATTGTATGTACACGTGTAGATTGCGTGCTTGGCAGGGTCCAATGTCCGAATCCAGTCAATAGTTGCTTTGCTGGACTCTCACTTCCGATCTGTCGGGTAGTGTCTTGACTTTCACATGGGTATTTGGGGACATAATTGGCCATCTTATGTTTTCATTTTTCATGTCCGGTCCTCGACTTAAGCCTCGTGGCCCGTATCAAGTCCCCTGGACAACCCTCCGTAGGCCGTATGAATGTTGTCTGTCTGTCCCAGGAATCACCATATCTCCACGTACCTATGTATGTATCTTTCTCACGTGCAATCCCTGTACATTACCCCAAATTACCCCCAGGCTTCTGGACTCCTCCGGAGTCTGGAATCTGGAGTCCCCAGATAGGTCCACTTGCACACCTCGGACGACATCGACTTGAGCCTCGAGCCGCGGTCCAGAGACGGGGCAATGAAACTGGGACTAGTTGTGATAGTACCGGAACTGGGACTGGGACCTACTGGGACTGGATGGCGAGAGGGAGGCAAGTCGGAACCGGCAAAACTGTTATTAACCGTCGCCGCGCTGTATCCTATCTTCAACTTCCAGTCCTAACAAGAACCTCGGTACCTGCCGTGTTTAAGATTTACTTGCTCGAACCTTTCACCGGCGGAGTAGCCAAGCTAGGAAGTTCATCAACCACCACTTGGAGGAAGGCTCAAGGAAAGGGATGAAGTACCCAACGACCGAGGAACGACACGATACTACAACATGCAGGTTGACACGGTACGGCGATAACACACTCGTTTGAAGGATGGACCTGTTCGCAGAGGGTAAAGAAATAAATCGATACATACGTGCCCATGACACCTTCCTTTTCCGCAAGGACAGATTGTGGTATGCAGATATGAAGTTGCAGACCGACCGGCCATGCAGGGACGATTCCCCGTGGGGTTGTACATGCTGGAGTTGTCGCGGTTGTTTGATGCAGGCAGCCATTTGTGGGTAATTGTCAAAGAGGCTTGTTGTTGTTGTTGTTGTTGTTGTTGTTGTTGTTCGTTGGTGGCACGGGTAGGGCAGAACGGCCCAACGAACGAACGAAGGACTGAATCGATGTTGCCATCAGTATTATGTGCGTCGGGTTGAGTGGTTCATAGTTTTGAAAGGTGTCGTTGTTTCACACGTGTTTGCGCAGCTGACGGACGCAGGGGTTGATTCCATGGTTGGTTGGTTGGTTGGTTGATTGGTGTTTGGGAGGTGCTTGCTGATGTTCGTGGTTGGTGGTTGAGATCGATGATGGTTGTTTGGTGTGTTCGACACAAGTGACGAAAATGTCCGAAACACAAAATGTTAAATACGATTACATTACAGGACGAAAACAAAAAGTACGCTTTTCTTTGCTTTTGCTCGGGAGGCCTATGAAAGACTTTGTTATTCTCCCGGTGCAGACTCCGAAATTTGATAATAACCGTTTAACCGGAGCAACCAGGTCGACAAAATCGGCAGATATCACCTGTCAAAAAAGGTAAGAAAAAAAAAATGGCTATTTTATCCTGGACAAAAGTACCAACCCACAATTTCACATGCGCTACGCCCTACAAGTGGGACTTCCCTGGCTTGGTTGTTGTGTCTGTCATTCTTCCCTCGGATCAACGACACCTTCCACTTGACGACATTTTCAGTTTCTGACACTTCAGACTTCGGACCATACCCTTCAAACTCT